GCGACCATTCCACTTTCAAGCAATGTGGTTAGAGAAGTAGTGGTTTCGGGACCACGTGAACTTGGTTTGGTCTTCTTTGGGTGGTGGTTTTGTTGTTAATACCAAGGCTTTGGCTACTACTCTTTTGCAATGGAATGAACGCCATTTCGGCAATTTGTTTGGCCAGAAAATGAGCTTAAGAGTACGAATTTTCTGTCTTCAACGTATTCCCAGACATCAACGTTCTCATCAGCTGGATTTACTTGAGTAAACTGATTAATAAATATAATGCCCTACTTCGTCAAGAATAAATATTCTGGGCAAAAAATTCTAGAGTACAGTTGCAATATGGAGATCGTAACTCTCATTTTTTTCCACCTTTCAACAGTGACTCGACGACGAATAAACAATATTGTGATGTTAAAAGATTACAATGGAGATTTGATTCGGGACCATGGTTTGTTGCAAGGTATGGTATTTAACTATTTTCGGGAGTTGTTCCAAGTCGAGGCCTCTAGTAATTCTTCTATTCCAGCGTTAAATCGTCCAAGGCTAGGTGTTGAAGCATGTCAGTTAATGGAAAGTGTGGTTACGGAGTCGGAAGCTCATCGAGGTTTATTTATGACGAAGCCTTGGAAATCCACGGAAGTTGACGGTTTCCAAGCTGGTATTTATCAAACATTTTGGACGACGTTTTACCCGTCCTTAAGTGCTTTTGCAATGCTTCAGGAGCTAAAGTCAACTATGAGAAGTCCAAATATTTTATTTCGCCTAAAACTAGTGGGCATGTGGGCGTTCTTTGGGACGAATTCTTCACATGGGTTCTACTAAGGATATGGGAAAGTATCTCGGAGTGCCATTGATTCATGGCTGGGTGACTAAGAACACTTATCGCGAAATCATTGATAAAGTGACTGATGTTAAGCGGATGGAAATCGAAGGCTCTTAATATCGCAGGGAGAGCAACTTTGATTAATTCGATCACATCTGCTATTCCTATGTATACTATGTTGACGTCAAAGCTTCCGGTGGTCACGACAGATAATGTAGATCGCTTAAATCGTAGGTTTCTATGGGGAGGTAATGACGAGAAGAGAGTGACGCATTTGATCTCCTGGGAGGTGTGTTGCAAACCAAAACGGTATGGTGGCTTGAGTCTCAGGTTGATGAGGTTACATAACAATGTCCTACAAAAAACAGCTTGGCGGTTTGTTCAACAACTCAATAGCCTATGGGTTCGTGATTTAAAGGCTTTATACGGGGTTGGTGATGACCTTATTGTTTACGCTAGGAATCAAATACGAGTGCTACCTATGTGGTTGCACACTTGGAAGAGTTTGTTCTTTGGCCTTCAAAGTCTTGTTAATGGAATGATTTGACGAATCGACAATGGTGAAGAAACTTTGTTTTGGAAAGACAATTGGTTGGAGAGTCCTATTTATTTACTTCCGATGTTCTGGGCTCTATGGTGGACGAGTCAGTCACTGTCAGTGAGTTTATCACTGCTGATAGGAAATGTGACTTGGAGAAGCTTTTATCTCAGCTGTCAATGGAGATTGTCAATCGTGTGATAGGATATCCCATCCCCCGTTTTTCATTATTTCATGGCTCGTTCATCTGGAGTTATATGAGGATGGGACTTTCAGCACTAGATCGACTTATTTATCCCTTATTCGAGATAATGGAGACGAGTTGGTGAGTGTATTATCTTGGATTTGGAAACTTACTTTGCCCCCTCGCTAGATTTTCTTTTTATGGCTGGCTTGGAGAAATCGTTTAATAACGAATGTTAGACTTGCCTCTTGGTATTCTGACTTCCTTCCCCATTGTTCGGTGTGTGGTTGTTTGAAGGAAGATTTTATCCATATTTTGAGGGAGTGCAATGTTGCTCGGGGAGTTTGGAGCCTTTTTCTTGCGGTTTATTACTCGGATAACTTTTATGTGACGGATTTACAGACTTGGTTGCTCGAACAGCTTGACATAGCAGTGCATTTTATGCCTCGGTCACTTGTTTTGTAGCATCCCTTTGGAAGTTACGGGCTAGTCGTTGCAGACGGGTGTTTGATGAGAATGATGTTAGCGTGAGTGACACATCTTTAGGGCAGTCCATTCTGATTTCTCCGAGGGAAGGTTGCATGGCGTTTGCATTGCCTGAACGAAAGTCAGTTCAACAGAGGCTCGTGTCCTGGGAAGCACCGATGAGGGGAAAGGTTAAAATAAATACTGATGCAGCGAGCAATGGTGATCATGCAATTGCTGGAGCTGGTGGAGTTTTTTGGGATGCGAGAGGCAACTGGATCTTAGGTTTCTTGGCGTATCTAGGATCCTGTTCTAGTGTTGCAGCTGAGCTTCATGCTATCCAGATCAGTCTTTCGATTGCCTGGGAGCGAGGTTTTCACGATATAGTGTGTGAAGTGGATGCCCGTGTGGCTCTTCATTTGGTTGCAGCAGGTAATGTTTCTACACATCCCCTGAGCTCTATTATAGCTGATGTCCAAAGTTTACGGGATCAGGAGTGGACTGTCGAATTCCAGCATCAGTTTCGAAAAGGGAATTTTTGTACTGATATACTATCAAAAATGGGTTGTGAGATTGAAGATGAGCTTGTTGTTTTTGTTCAACCGTCGGACGAGGTGAAGTCTGCGGTCCAAGCTGATTGCAGGGGTATTCAATTTCCTAGGGGTTTCAACATACATTATTTCTGCTCTTCTTTTATTTTTCTCTTTGTAACCAAAAAAGGATAAAACATGTAAAGTTTAATTTAGAGGATGATACATCAAAAAATATTAGAACACAATATATTTTACCGATATTATTTTTCACTTATGATCTTAAGAAGTGAAGTAATATAAAAGTTCAACAAATTCATTCCAACAATATTTTGGCTAATTTGTTTATCAAGGCATTACCAACTTATAACTAGTGAAAGGTTTTTTTTAATAGAAGCCTCGACCCTATGTCCGAATGAGTTGGAAATAAGTCATATAGAATCAATCGATTCATGGTAAAATCTCTCCGCCTTAAATGGAAGTTCTATCTATTAAAAAGGAATTTAGATTCTCTAATATAAAAGGTTTTAAAATCATCATTAACCTCTCTTTTTTTCTATTTCTGGATTATTATATATAAACACCTATCTTGGAGATGTAATTCAATTTTTATTTTATTTGAGTTCAATGATCTAAGTGGTAAGTTAAAAGATAACAACAAAACCCTATTCCCATATGTAATAGGATAAGAGGGAGGTAGGGTAGTAAGTTACCCCCAACGCCAGGTTGAAAGCAGCTTCCGTGGAAGACCTCCGGCAGTCAGACAATTAAAAATAAAGATAAAATGCAATGTATGTATAAATAAATAATTGAACTCCCTACGTAAAATTCTCTTCATATAGACAAAACATAAGACCCGACTAAATTTAAAAAGAGAAAACATGAAGAGAATGATACACAGAAGTCAACGATAGCAAACTACTAGGAGGAATAAAATCAAATGGGTTTAAAACCTAAAACTAATGCAATACTACTTCGCTACCCTAGTTCTAATCTTCCATAAATTCCAATTACAGAAACGAATAAAAAGTATAAATTAATGGAAATTACTACAAAGACATTAAAAGAAGACAGAGATGATACACGCTATGAGTGTGACCCGCACTACTCGACTACCATGGTCTTAAGTCTCCATAAATTCCTATCAGATGTCATGTCCTCGGTAAGGGCTAAATCATTCAAATCAAATCTCAAGCAGTATTTCCATTTCTACCTTGGTCGTCCTCTCTTTCGGGCACCGTCGACTGTAATCGACTCAACCCTCCTGACCGCATCCGACGATTTTCGCCTAAGGACATGCCCAAACCACCGTAGTCTTCCCTCCCTCAATTTTTTAGATATAGGCACCACCCCCAATAACATCCTAATAGCAGAGTTTGGTGTCATGTCCCACAGTGTCCTACCACATGCCATCGAAACATTCTCATTTCTGCGGCCTCCATCCTCCTTACATGATCCTTCTTGATTGCCCAACATTCTGATCCATACATCAATGTTGGTCTTATTGTCATTCTATAAAATTTTCCCTTAAATTTTAGAGGCATCTTATTGTCACACAAAACTCCAGTAGCAGCCCTCCACTTTAACCATCCTGCCTTTATACGGTGTGTAACGTCATCATCTACACCCTCATCTTTATGTATCATAGACCCTAAGTACTCAAAACAATCTTTTAAGGGGAGAACGTGTCTTTCTATGCAAGCTTCTACATCTTTATCGTTTTGGTTCCCACTAAAGTTTGAACATAAATACTCTGTCTTTTCAATATTGATCCTTAGACCTTTTTTCTTTCAATATAGTCTTCCAGGTAGCCAGTCTACTATTCAGTTCAGTTTTTTTTTCAGCAACTAGGACAATGTCGTCAGCGAAAAACATATATCATGGAACACCGTCTAGTGTCGCACAATTACGTCTACAGGATAGGCGTACGCTAACAATTAATTAAAAAAGTTTTGAATATATACTATATTATAAAATTGAAAAAATAATCGTTAACAATCAATTTTAATATTACGCCAAGGAAAAAAAATACTCCAGGCTTAGCATGATTGACATGTAAAGAGAAAAAATAGAAACCTAAAAACAATTGTATAAAATATACAATCAAGTTTTATAATGATTATTATCCCTAAAATTTTCGAACTTGAGCACAATTTCTACAAGAATATTTGAACATTTATTATCAAATAATTAAAAATCTTTTGAATAAATAATACCCCTTATAATCACCCCAAATTAATAAATAAAAAAATTCACCCCCCTTGTTTTATATATATTATAATTTGAAGTGATTTGAAAGCATCACAATAAAAAGTGGCCATATTTTCTCTCATTTTTTTTAACAGGCACTCAAATTGTTCTGTTTTCACTTTTTGCTCACCCATCATTCCCTTAACTTGATTTTTGCTTCTATGGAATGCAATATCAGTTATCTCAATAAAACAAGAAATATTTGTCACCGTGAGATGTGTATAAAATTAACAATCTTACACTCAGAGCTTTTATTTTTGATTAGTTATATAATTCAATTAACGATCACGTGCTTTGTTTCGACATACATTGAGTTTATGTGCTGTACATCATCAAGAATAGGGGGTGAAGAGAAAAAATAAAGGATATACCTGGAGATGAAGTGTATCCAGGAGCAAATGTCTATAATTGTTAATCCAGATTTCTTTTTCTTATCAAAGGATTGAGTAAGCACGGATGACCTCAACTACTGGTGCACGACACATCGGACACTTCCCTCTGCCTTGAACCAACTCGTTGGCGCATTTCGAGCACGTGCACATGTGTCCGCATCTATGATTATATGAATGCAAAAATGTTGGAAGGCCTTAAAAATCTATATGGAATTGATGGATGAAACTTTGAAGATATCTACCTGTATAGTAATGAATCAATATTGCCTTCACAGCATATACAGCAAATTCCTTTCCGGACGTTATCCCAGTCAGAAGATGCATCCTTGGGCAAGTCGTCATCGATCTTGCCTGCAGGAGATTAAGGCAATGATTAACAAACAGAAGCAAGCAAAGTCCAGAATGAGAGAAAAAGCCTCGGTTACGTAACAAAGACGAATATATTGTTAAAACATCAACAATCAGTGGTTTGTTGGAATTCCTTCATGTCAAAAGTGTCGATTCAATAAACATAATTTGATATCGAGTACTATGGCAGTATCATGGGAAACTGAGCCTCTTGAGTGACGTAGAGAAAATGGGGAAATAAGAAACAAACCTTGCGAAGCAGATGACCGGTTCAGGGCAGCAGAAACTTCTTGTCTTATTGATCGCTGCAACTCAAGTTGCATATCCATGCAGGCCTCCAGCATCCTCTGCATGTTGTTCATTCTTTGCTGCAATCTTGCCATGTCAACCCTTAAATCATTGATTATCTCCCACTCCTGCACAAAATTAGCACAACAAACTCAACTAAGACCAAAGGATTAGTACTAGAACTGATTAGGCTCGAAGAATAAGAAGAAGAAGAAGAAGTGTTGAACATACAATGCCAAAGCACTGGTGTGCATCATGTGGCTGCCAATTATAATGGTGTGAATCCTGGTCCCAGAGTGGCTGCGTAGATTGCATCCTGTACGAAAGAACAGTGATTGGAGGACTCTGACCCTCATTTTGATGCCTGCTTTCCTGTTCTATAACTTGTTCAAGAGATTCAGGAGTGGGAATTGCTTCATTCAGGTTCCAGTCCATAGAACCTTGATTTTGCCTGTCCACGTATGATTGTATCAATTGGTCAAGCCTCTCACGAAAACCACTATGAAGAAGGGTAGACACACTTCTCCTACAATATTAAAAATAACTCAGAAGAATACAGAATCAGAGAAATTCATACATAAACCCAGTCATATAATTCACACCTGCTTAACAGTTCCCTCAATTCCATATTGTGTACATTATCATCATCAGGAAAATAGAATGTGTCTGTTCTCTCAATCGTTGCAGGTTGTTGACTGTAAGACACTTCAAACCAATTCTGTCTTGTGTCATGTAAGCCAGCATCCTCATGCTGCGTGTCAAGAGCTTCTAGCATAAGATCATAATCTCTATTTTCACTCTCACCATCTTCATGATGCAAGTCAAAGGCTTCTTCATTACCACCATCCTCATGATGCAAGTCAAAGGCTTCTTCATTACCACCATCATTCACCTCATTATAATCCACAGTCGCTTCCTGCCAGTCTGCATCCTCATTTTCCTCATCCTCTTCCTGCCATTGTTCACCTTGAGAAGCAAGCTCTTGGCCATCAATATACTCAACCAGATTTGTTTCCACATTTTCTACGACATTCATTAACCCAAAGGTCCGACCTCTCTCACCATCTTGGGGAGAATGTTCATAAGATGCTTCACCAGATTCTTGTAGACTACTTTGTTCTCCAGCTTCATTTTGTATAGTTTCGCTGGACGCATTAGCCAGATTTTGTTGCCTGTCCCCATCCAAGACTTGTCCAATATCACATCTGCTTTCAATAGGCTCAGGACTGGCAGACCACTGCCGGTTACTAACCACACCATCAGAAATTTGTTCCTGCCACTCTTCTACACGAACAGAAGTTGCTTGACAACTTGTATCTTCAGGTTCAACCTCTAAATCAGTTGTATGAACCAAAGATCTTTGATTATCAGTTTCCTCGTTCTCAAACTCAAATTGGTCATTTAATCCATCTATGGCAGAATGTGTATTATTTACTTGGTTTTGTTCACTTCTATTATCATTACTGTCAGCGTTAGAAGATGTGTCTGAATGATTACTGGTTGCAGGACCAGAACCCGAATTATCCAGTCGGGATAAAAAACCTTCCCTGATACATAGCCACAGATTGTGAAAATGTTACCACCAAAAGATGAAAATGGCATCATATAAATAAAATGGAAAGATTGGAAAGTTATTTTCTAATTCAACCCCGAGTATTCTTTGTGAACTTCAAAATAATCACTTGTTCAAAGGATCTTACGGTCAAGCTATTTCAGGGAAAAAAGAGAGAAACGAAGAGTTGAGATGGGCAAAATTTTCTAGTTTATCAAACCTAACCTTGCATTGGAAAAACATCATCATATTAGTAACAACCGCTGATAATATTTAGAAGGTCAATACTAGGTTAAACAATAAAAAAAATGATTGGCCAAAAGCACCTATATAAAGTGAAATGTACAATTCAACCCTGCCATTTTACAATCTATAAGGGCCCTCCCCCGATACAGGTAAAATGTGGTGGTCTCACTCATCTACCAAGAACAATACTTAAATGGTCAAACCAAAAGAAGTATGTTAATACTTTCTACACCCTGAAGTCAAACAGCCAATTATAAAATGAGAGTGTAAAGGTCCTACATTCAGGCCAGCCAACCAACCAAAATGCCTAAATTTGCAGTATCAGGGTGTGGTCCAGTGTTTGAAGTCGTGGTGACTTGAAAGTTGAAAACATGATCTCCAGGTCAGACCAAGAACCATACTATAGCTTCTTCTCTTAAGATCCTAAAACATGATCTCCATGTAGCTGTAGCCTTTACATTCCCACACTCTTTCATGAATAGTATTACTAATTTCCAGAAATGTTACGAAAAGGTTCCTTTTCTTCAGGCCAGAATCTTGGTGAGTTATACGAGTTAAATCATTGGAAGGGGCGTTATTTTAAAGCTTCCATTGAAAACATCCAAATTAAATTAAATATTAAACACCTTGTTTTTAAATTCAAGAATCAAATTCAGCTTTAATTTTTGTGAAGAACGCAATTTACAGAACAGTTCAAGTTCCCCTTGCTTAAAGGTTTTCTCAAATTAAGTTTCATTTAATTAAAGATGCTTACATAAGATGCCAATAAAAAATAGCGGAATTCTCTCAGAATATAGCATAGGATGAACTTAGTAGAATATTTAAAAGAAATCATTAATATTATATAAAGCAAAGAATGAAGTACCTTAGACCAGATACAGTCTGTTTTTGTCTTAATAAGCCTAATTCACTGGCTGCAACCGAGGTAGACCTGTCACCTTCAACCATTCTGTTATTTCTCAAGAATCTACCTCTTAGTAAAGACTGCCAAAATAGGAAGACAAGGGAGATAATTAATGCCAGTAAAACAAGTCCACATTTAGAAATGTAAACATCAATATGGTAGAACACCCAAGAAGTTAAAATTTGAAATTAAGAAGTTTATGCCAGATAAAAAATGCCAAGCTAAACTACAGTTGCCTTCAAACAAATGGAACATATAAAGGATACATAAGCATTTTTAATATTTCTAACAACCTTTTAGCAGACATTGGCAGCCATGAGTAGTTCTTATCAAAAAAATAATTGACAACAGTCAATAGTTAGCCTAATTGCCTAATTTCCAGAGCAAGCTACAAGCTAAAAAAAGTGACCTCAATATCAATAAGAAGATAAAGAGGCAAGTAGTTGGGATAGTGACGCTACCATGTTGTACTTAAGACATAAAATCAGAAGTCTTATCTTAGTTCAATGTAATAGCATTCTTGTTTTTCATTCAACATCTGTCCTGGTTAGTATTATGTATACACACTCTTTCTACACATCATAATAGCACAAATATTATTTCAAGAATTTTAACAGGAAAGATACTAATCCATAATGACACATCTAATACAGCTTTTAGAGGATGTATCAAACCTAAAAGTTGAGCTTTAAGCAACTGGTATAACTTCTTTTTTTTTTTGCAACCAACAGTCTCATAGCAAGAGAAACACATGTAAATTACCAATGAGAACCATAAAGACTAAAGCAAACAAATTATCATCTACGGTAAATATAGTTTTCTTCTCTTTTGTTTGATATCTAGGAAGAACATAAACAGAAATATGAACAATTAAAGACACCGACCACCAACAAAAAACGGCTCAACATTTTATGTATCTACCTGAATTCGGTTGCGATGGGAAAATTTTGATACAGCCCGATGCTCCAACAACCCCTGAAGCTCTGATTGTCTTTCTCTCTCTGTCTTTTTGAGCATATCAAGCAGGGCCTGTCGACCACATAATTTCCGAATGCCCCAATGCAAATGCTCGGTTCGACCTTCAACATGGTTAACCACCAATCCATCAAGAATTCGTTCAATTTGACCACCAGCATCAGCAACTTGCTCTTCACTACTGTCCATGCAAGCACCTCTCACCTGGCTATTCGTTTGCACCCACTCCCTTATAATTCTGACTCTCTCCTGCTCAGTTTCACCAAGCCACTGGGCCCTTGAACTGTTGTGTCTACGTGAAACATTAGACGTACATTCATTGCCACTACTGTTCATCCACTCCTGAAAAATTTGCCTTACCTTTTCCCTTTCAACTTCCCCCAAATCAGATGAATGCTCACAATTAAAATTACTTGAATCTGCATTCCCTCCCTGTGACCCAAATCGATCAGGTAACCATTGCCCAAACTCATTCTCACTCACACTCACATCCTCTGTAACACCACTATGTTCACTATGTCGGCCATCAGAAAGATCAGTAACAGAAAGGACCTCACTCCTCTGTTGGAGCATTCTTTCATTAGCTCTCTCTTGAGCATGACTCACCACATGATCATCCTCAAGCTCCCGCCACATCTGCAGGAGTGAGGATGCCTGGCTGCTACCATTTTCCTGCCTTCTTGATGCCCGAGACTGAGACTCCCTTAGGAAAGAATTTTCAAGCAAAGAAACATTGTGTAGACCAGCAATAGCCATATCACTCCGAAATCTAAACTAACAAACCCTTTCAACCCATCTGCTTCAAATGCACAAAAAATTGCATTTATTCACCCAAAAAAATACTATATAGCAGACAATCCCCTTAGAAAAAAATTGATCGGCACCTCAAACTAGTAAATCTCTTCATCATCCTCATTTATCAGATTCAGCAAAGCCAACACTGTCACCGCCATCATCACGATCAATCTTCAGAGCAAACAAAAAGGTCAAATCTTCAATAATAAAAAATCCGCAGCAACAACTGAAGAATTACAGTTTTTCCTAATTTGTTTTCATAAATAAATTGTAACACTTGAAATTTAATTTCCTCAAGGTCTTGATTTACATATGACAAAATGAGGAAGAAATTTAAAAGTAAAAACAAATCTGGAAGCTATTAAAAACAACTTCCAGCAAACATACTTGAAAACAGCTATCCACCAAATTGATTTAACAGAATTATTACCTTGTTTGGCTTCCGAGAAAATATGGAAGGATAAAAATAATAATCCAAATCTCAATTTCTACTATCTCTCGCAAAAAATCCAAAAATTTGAAGAAGAAAAATGAAATAACCATTTATAAATTCTTACAAATTAAAACATAATGTTCTTTTCTTCTCCTCACATTTGTCAGTAATCAAAGGAGAGAAAGGTCCCCAACATTACCAAATCCACATTCAAAAGAAAAGAAAAGAGCATCGAATGGACAACAAAGCACAATTAAAAATTAAGCGTTTAAAGAGAAACGAATCGAAGGAAAGAAATGAAAACGTACCAAAGAAGCTTCAACTGTTTGATTTCGAAGTAAAGGAAACGAAACCTAAAGCATGAGAGAGAGAGAAAGAGAGAGAGAGAGAGAGAGAATGTGAAGAGGAAGAAGTCAGTAAGGGAAATAGAAGACGGTGGGAAGAATAGATTTTGTGAATAATAAATGCAAAAGTGGTGGGGACACGTCATTTTTATTTTTTATTTATTTCTCTTTATTGTTTTCAACTTTTTACGGTTTGATGTTGTGGTGCTGTCGTAACACTAATGTCCTGACGTCAGGGCTCAACACCCAATAAGAGATGGACGCGTGGATGAGTCTTTTCTCCTGTGGTTAAATATGAAGCTCCCAAATCTTGGATTTAACGGGAAGCGCACAAAACGACGCCACGTTCTTGCTTCCCTTACCTTTCACTTGTTGTTGGTGTTGAAATTTCAAAATAAAGAAAGAAGAGGGGCACCCATGGAATTTCAACTGTTGGGACATTTAAAGGCAATTTGAAAAACCTATTAATAATCTAATATACCTTTGATTACATGTTCATTTTAATATGATAAAACGTTACAGTTTTTGAATCTAGTTCAAATTTTAAATTTAAATATTATAAAAACTAAAAAAATTAAATGAATTAATCTTATAATATATTTTATAGTGTTTATTTTAAATTAATTGGTAAATAAATCAAATATTAATTATTATGAATTAAAAATACGTTATCCACGGATGATGCATGGATCCCAAGCCTGGAACCAATCAACACGTTATCCACACCTCCGCAGAATCCCATTCCCCAACGGTATGTGCGCGATTTTATCACGGATGAAGGAGAATGGAACATCCCCTCCTTGAGCGATCTGTTAGCCGTGAGCTCCTTCAATAGGCCGTTGTCACCCCCTAGTGACGACCTAGGAGAAGATCAACCTATCTGGCTTAGAGACCAAACCGGAGAATGCACTGTTCGGACTGCTTACTATCACATGGAGAACTCCGATTGGAACAAGCATAGTAAGATATGATATATAGCCTGGAACCATGACAGCCCTCAACGGGTTAAACACTTTATTTGGCTCTCGCTCCACCAGAGTCTAATGACGAACGCTGAAAGGGCAAGAAGATGCCTCACAACAAATGCCCTCTGCCCGATTTGTGCCAATTCTGAGGAATCAACCCTGTACGTACTCAGGGATTGCCATGCTGTGCGTAACGTGTGGAAGCAGCTAATCCCAGATAAAGCTAAGACTCATTTCTTCACCAGTAATCTCTTTGTTTGGTTTCAGACTAACCTCTTTCACAACGTAGGTCTAGGTACGCCCAACTACTTTTGGAGGCACCTCTTTGGAATCATAGCCTGGAGAATGTGGAAACAAAGGAATATGTTTGTTTTCTAAGGGAAAACATGGTCAACGATTGAAATACTTAGGTCGCCTGGACATAGGCTAAATCTATTAGGGAGGCCGAAAAGGAAGATGCTCACAGGTGCAAACACCAAAGACCAAAGCAGCAATGGCGTAAACTGTTGGGTTACTGGGTTAAGCTTAATAGTTAATACGGATGGGTCAGTACACCAATCTACCAAGGAAGCGGTTAGCAGGGATCTCCGAGACAGCAGTGGAAGATAGGTTGCAGGCTACTATCGAAACATTGGGCGATGCACTGTTTATCAAGCCGAGCTCTAGGTGGTGGTTGATGGCCTTCGGATAGCATGGGATCAAGGAATCAGGTGGTGATTATTGAAACCGATCCCTCTAACATCATTCGAAAGATTAAGCCATCTAGAAAGGCTTGGGATGATGCGCTTACAAGACGTCTACGAATCCTCCTTGATAGACATTGGAAAGTGGAGATAACTCATATAAATCGTGAGGCAAACATGCTAGCTGATGCTCTTGCCCATATGGTTAGACAAGACACTCTTAACCTTTTGATTCTCAAGGAACTGCCGGACGTGGTTCAAATAATCCTAAGAGAAGAAAGCTCGAATGAGGATACTAGCTTTGTAATGCTTCAAATCTCATATTAGTAGTTCGGGTTGAAACGAGACCCATAATTAGAGCCCAAAAGACACATTAAATAGTTTGGACCTATTTAGGTTTTAGGTAGGCTTGAGTTAGGCCTATGTGATGAAGAGTTGGGACCATTTTATTATTAGGAGGTTTGAAAAATGACTAAAAGAGTGATTTACCCCTAGTTAATTTTCAAAGCTGAAACCCAAAAATTTGGATGATTGTATGTACCCACTTTAACCTTCTTTCTCACCAAACACTCTTTCTCTTCGTCTCATCTTTCTTCTCTTCTTCTTCCTTTACCAAATGAAACAAAGGTAAAAACTTTAAGGATTCCAAGCCTAGTTGGGTTTAGATAAGGTAAAAATATTAATATCCATTCCAAGAGCCTTAATTCAAGTCCCTAATCTCATGTTTTGATACAGTTTCAAAAATGGGTTCTAGGGAGGTTTAAGAAAATCAATTGATTCTAGCTTGTTTTTAGTGGATTCAAGTTATAGGAAGTGTTTTTAACTTCAATCCAAACACCTAGTTGAGTTAGTAATTTCTTTTCTTACCTTTGATTAGTGAAAGAAGTGGGAGAGAGCTCAAAGGCAAGGAGAAAAGAGAAATTGACCATTGGTTGATTTGGGAGAGTTTCTATTAGATGGAATACCAAGGTAACACATTCATAACTTCTTCATACCAATTGTAGGTCACTAGAAATGCATTCTAGCTTAAGAGTTGAGTTTGAAGCATGTTGAGTATTTTCATAGTAGATTCTATGTTTTATTGTTATAGCATGTTTCAAGGACTTATTTATAACCCCTTTTTACCACATAAAACTCCAATAATGATTGAAAACCTCAATATAACAGTTTGGGTGAGTTTCAGTGTTAATTTCAAGCCCAAGTAGGGTATTTTCGAGTAGGGTACGGGGTACCGGTACTAAAAGAATAGTATCGATATTGTTCTTCAGCCAGGGTAAAATTAGCCAAATTTTAAGAAGAGAGTATCGATACTCATCAAGGGAGTATCGATACTGCAGTATAGATACTTATGGTGGTATCGATACTAGGAGCTCAAATCAAATTCCAGAATACTATTTTGGTATCGATACCCTGGTCAGTATCGATACCTTAGCTTGGGAGTATCGATACTAACCCATTATTTCCTAGTTAAAATCTGATGATGAGTATCTATACTCTAGGTGGAGTATTGATACTCTAGGGGCAGTACCGATACTGAGAGACTTAGTATCGATACTAGCATACTTTTTGGGCTTTCCAAGGGGATTTAAGATGTGATAAGGTTTCCCAATAACTCCATATTTTTCTATTAATAAGACTACAAGTGAAACCATAATAATGATCTTATACTATTAAAAACCAAATCAACCAGGGTGACATAAAAATTTTCCTTGGTTGATGCTTGGGAAAACAACAAGAACACCCGAGTAACCGAGTTGCTCTAGTAAATGATATTGGTGTCGAGAATTAAAATCAGTCCGGATATCCTTAGGTAGTGCGCGAGGCACTTTAAACTGACTAACTAAGGTTGAGGTCTGACACTCGTAAAGGGTGGGTTAGTCTAAGGTGTTGTGCCCAATGTAGAGATTTTGGGCCTCATCCTCGATAGAATAGAGGGGTACGTGAGCTCTGAGATGCAGAACCCTCAGTCACACCATGATTTTTACCATAGAGTAGAGAGTGTAGTATACGAGTATACTCATTGTTGCATTACACTTGATAGCTTGAGCATTTAATGAACACTTTTAGTATGATTTAGTCGTTAGCGTGAAACTAGGCTAGTGAGCTCAGCGTTTGGAATTTGTTTCCTTACGCAGGTTAATAGGATGAGCATTCGAGGAGCCTTTTGAGCAGCCGAGATCCATACCAAGTGTAAGCAGAGTACAAGTGCATGTATTATTTGTAGATATCGTTTTGTATATTCGAGTCGTAACTTTATTTGAAACGTTAGTCTATATTTTGATATATTTATTTTGGAAGCTCCCGATGTAAACTTATTTTATATAATTATGGTTGATTTATTTTACCTTGAATATTTTAAGTGGTTTTTTTAAATGAGAAATTTAAGAAAATTTTTGGGTTAGTTACTCCAGTGGTTTCATGTGGTATTTCGATCGGTCGACTATGTGTTGTACTGGTTTAGGGTGTTACAAGCTTAACCTATTGACCTATCAGTAGCTCCCTTTATAACCAATATATATTAGTTTAAATCTATTGAGTGGTCTTAGTGGTTAAAGCGTATTAAGGGTATATACGGTGTACGTATTTGTATGCATGTAGTTAGCTGAGTCAGTAAAGGTTAGTAGGTTGTTAGTTAGACTGTTAGAGGCTGTTAGCTTGTACACGTTAGCTGTAACTGCTTGGTAAGCAGTGTATAAAGGACTTGTAAATATATAGCATGTACATCGATCTTGATCAATGAATATGTTTACATTAAACTAA